GCACATGCCTGTAATTCCGGCTACTTGGAAGGCTGAGGCGGAAGGATCGCCGGAGCCGAGCAGGTCGAGGCTGTGGTGGCTGGGAGCGGCCCACTGCACTCCAGTCTGGGCGACAGAGTGAGACTCCAACTCAAACAAACAAAAAAAAATCACATGAAAATCTTACTCATCTCATTGGAACCAGGATCCCGTGTGGAGAGCCCCTTGTCCCAAAACACAGGGCACGGCTGGAAAGGTGACCACCCCCTCGTCCCATCACACACTGCATGTTCATCTGGAACCTGGTGCTAAACCATTCATAGATGACCTGCTTCTGGGTTAGGGTTATGTATGTACCTTTACACCAGTAGAGCAGCTCCCTCACTGTGACCTACTGAAAGTCAGCCCTCGACACTAGGGTTTGTAAAAAAAAAAAAAAAGAAAGAAAAAGAAAAAAATCTTACTAATATTTATCTCATCTATATTTACTCAGTTTACTCATTTTTAGCAGTTTGCTTAATTACTTTTGAAATCTGAGATTTTAAACAAAGCTGGTCCTCATTTTAAGGTTTTTTTCCTGTTAACCATTTTTATAGCCTGTGAATATCAGGTGTTTACCTAAATAAGGACCTTAAAGTAAAATACATGGGTATTTTGCTAATAACTCAGAAGACTCAGCAATTTGCATTGAATTAACAATCTTAAATCAATCTTGCTTGTCAAAAATCATACACACCAAGATCATTAAGGTCATGTGAGCTTGGAAAGCATTTAGATCTATTTAATTTATGAGTACTCATTTATTTATAAACCAAGTTGGTAGCATGCTAGGCACAACACACAACATGTACATACATGTAAACACATTTAAACTTACATACATGTATATAAACAAAAAGCCAATAGCTTTTTTCCTTGAAAATTCTAGCCATGAAATAGCAACAAACTCATAATTTTATAAAGGATAGCTAAATCCACATTATACCTCTGACAAAATTGGAACCTGTCTCCATGGCTAAATTCTGTTTGCTGCAACAGGTAATCTAATAAGGGCTGTGGACAAAAATTTGGGTAAAGCAGTTTCTATGGCAGTTGTATTTTTATTTATTTATTTACTTGTGTATGTATGTATGTATTGAGTTGGGATCTCACTGTGTCACCCAGGCTGGAGTGCATTGGCATGCTCATGGCCACGGTTTGATTTTTAAAACCTCTAGCTGGGCATGGTGGCTCATGCCTATAACTCCAGCACTTTGGGAAGCAGAGGTGAGAGGATTGCCTGAGCTCAGGAGATCAAGACTTGGGCAACATGGCAAGAACTTGTCTCTACGATAAATCAGAAAAATTAGCTGGGTATGGTGGCACATACCTGTAGTTCCAGCAAGTTGGGAGGCTATCACTGAAGGATCATCTGAGCCCAGCAGGTCAAGGCAGTGGTAACCATGATCATGCCACTACACTCCAGCCTGGGTGACAGAGTAAGACCCCAACTCAAAAAAATAAATAAAACAAAATCTCTTTTACCTCTTTTTCTTTTGTCATAGGTAGGTACCTACATGGCTCATAATCAGACAGTATCTGTCCCAAAGGACTGTCAAATGGAATAGACTTATTTTCCACATTAAAACAAAACAAAAGACAAAGAGCAAACAAGTACAAACAGCGAAACCAAAGTATATTCCAAAAGTGTAAACGAGCTACAACCACTTTCCCCAACACCTGCAAATGACTATATTTTTGTTTTTGTTTTTTTTTCAGTCGGAATCTCACTCTGTTGCCCAGGCTGGAGTGCAGTAGCACACTCACAGCCACCACAACCTCGACCTGTTAGACTCAGGCAATCTTTCCACCTCAGCCTTCTAAGTAGCTGGAACTACAGACATGTGCCACTATGCCCAGTTAATTTTTAAGATTTATTGTAGAGACAAGGTCTTGCCAAGTTGCCCAGGCTGGTCTTAAACCCCTGGACTCAGGCAATCCTCTTGCCTCAGTCTTCTACAGTGCAGGGATTACAGGCGTGAGCCACCATGCCCAGCTCAAACAGCTATTAACAGCCCAAATGAGAAGAGGTTAAATTCCTGACTTAGGATCCTACCCATGAGTGCATAAACAAATACAAACAACAAAACCAAAGGATACCCCCAAAGTGCAAACAAGTTAAAACCACCTTCTCTGGTGTCTGACAATGGCTATCACAGGCCCAAACAAGAAGGGGTTAAACTCCCAGCTCAAGATCCAGTAAGTGGTATTGCCTTTGAGTGCATTTTTGCATAATGATGCCAACCTGTCTCCCTGAAACCTGGTTGCAGAAATAAACTCTGTTTTCACCCAGTTTCTGCTTCTTGTCTTCGATTGACCCCAAGGAAAGCAGCTGGAAGAGTTTTCCTGGGAACAAAATTTGGCAACTCTGGTGGAGCTTTACTGCTTACAGATGGCTAGTTTTGGTAGAGCTGTCCCACAGAGACTCCATGTGACTGCTAGAGCCCTTTTTGCTCCAGGGACTCTCTAGGGTATGTCCCTGTCAACAGTCAATCCTGGCCAATGTCTTTCTGAAACTGACTCGGAGAAAGCAGAGGTTGGGAGAGGACACACTCATGGGTAAGTCAGACTAGATTGTAAGCCAGCAGTTTAACCTCTTCTCCTTTGGGCTTTTTTTTTTTTTTTTTTTTAAGTTGGAGTCTCACTCTGTCACCCAGGCTGGAGTGGAGTGCAGTGGCATACTCATGGCAACTGCAACTTTGACCTGCTGGGCTCAGACAGTCTTTCTGCCTCAGCCTTCCAAGTAGCTGGAACTGGCATGTGTCACCATGCTCGGCTTATTTTTTGAGATGAGGTCTCACCAAGTTGCCTGGGTTGGTCTCAAACCCCTGAGATCAGGCAATCCTCTCACCTCGGCCTCCCAAAGTGCTGGGATTACAGGCTTGAGCCATGATGCCCGGCCTCCTTTGGGCTTTTAATAGTCATTTCCAGGTGCCAGAGAAGGTGGTTTATATTCCATTATTCCATAGCTCCTCACCTATTCTCAGGCTAAATTAACAGAGGCATGACTCAAGATTTCCTAATCCTCTTTCACCCACCCCCAAGGCTAAATTCCTTAAGTGGGGGGAACAGAAAGTTACAACTGAAAGAAGTTATCTTGGCACATTTAGAACCCCCATTCCCAGAGCCTTGACCTATAACAAAGCCTCACCTCTACAGTGGATGCAACCTCCCCACCAAAGGACAACCAGAGTCCCTCTCCCATCCTTACCCTCAGTTCTCTTCATGTCATCGTGCCAAGGAAGCCTTTCACATACTCCTGAGGCTGACCATATCCCTGTAGATATCATCACTCTTAAAAACAAATGTTAGGTTGATTTTTATAACTTTCTGAAAGATAAGGAAAGTATTACAAATACTGGAAAAACCTAAGGAGGGAAATAGAATAACTCAAGGATTCTAGCACCAGAGTGGTTCATGGCCAGGCTGTTCCCAGGCAACTTCCTCTTGAAGAGTGTTTACCTCAGCTGTGGTCTGAATCCTGGGTGGTCTAGAACACACCTAAAGAGAGGATCTGACCTCAGACCTAGTGGAATTGACCTAAATCCCATCCCCCCACCTCTTGCTGTGCTACACTTCCCCTGTATGGAAGTGAAGCTCTCACTTGTCATGTTTGGATTTGTTTTGTTTTGTTTTGTTTGAGTTAGAGTCTCACTCTGTCGCCCAGACTGGAGTGCAGTGGCCGCTCCCGGCCACCGCAGCCTCGACCTGCTGGGCTCCAGCGGTCCTGAGGCGTCAGCCTTCCAAGTAGCTGGAACTACAGGCGTGCACTACCACACCCGGCTAATTTTTTGATTTTATTGTAGAGATGAGGTCTCACCAAGTTGCCCAGGCGGGTCTCGAACCTGCGGGCTCAGGCAATCCACTCACCTCTGCCTCCCAAGGCGTGGGATTACAGACTGAGCCACCAAACCTGGCTATGTTTGGATTTGAATTGCAGCAATAGGCAAGAGCTGAGTCTTTGCCAGAGGTTCCACGTGACTGGGGCTCAGCCCAATGACCTCTCTGAAGGGACCCAGCACCCTTAGCACTTTGTTCTTGGACATAGGGACTCTGAGCTGCAGGGGTCTGTGTGCCCAACTTTCACAAAGACCACTGTCTTCTTCCTGACCACAAAGTAGGCGAAGGCAGTGGTGCCAGCCTGGTTCTGGGGAATGTGAACTGATTGTCGTATCCCAGCATATCCAAGCATAGATATGTTCATGGATTGGGAAGTAGTAGCAATGAATGGATGAATGTGGGAAATGTGAGTGTAGTTACATAAGGGTTTTCACAACATTTGGGTCCAGTGGGAACATCTGTAATTCATGTGTTCTGGCAGAGCACCCAGGAAGCAGGAAAGGGACAGTCTTCCTTCTCCTGCCACCCACATGGTGGCTAGAGGGCTACAGCCTTCTAGGGAGGGGGCCCTTAAGCTGGAGCAACCCAGTACAGGGCTCCAGTTGGACAGGGCTCCTCAAGTCTGTCTCTCAGGAGTGTTTCCAAATGGGGATCCGCTGCTCTAGATCCCTTCGTCTAGCCCTAGGGAACTGGAAATGAAAAGGAAGAAGCAGTCACTGCTGAGTTTTGTCCACTGATGTGGAGTTTTTGCTCCTAAAGATCAGGCCAGAGTCTGGCTACTAGTGACCAGCATAATTCTCCCAGGTACTTACAGTGGAGTCTAGGAAGGGAATGTGTTGTCAGGCCCTTCTGTGCTTTTCTTTCTTTGGTACTAACTGATCTTACAATATGTAAAAACCTACTAGAAGGTTCAAAGGCAGCTGAAAAAGGGTTTGTGTATGTGTGTGTGTATTTTTTTTTAAGAGACAGGGTCTTGATTTATTACCCAGGCTGCAGTGCAGTGGTACAATCATAGCTCACTGCAGCCTCGAACTCCTCCTGCCTAGACTCAAGTGATCGTCCTGCCTCAGACTCTCCAGTAGCATTTCCAGGTGCTGTGACTGTGTTTGCTCAGGCCTGCATTTCATTTCCTCCTCCCACAGATGAGCTGTCCATGGGACTGGGCCGTCTGAAGGACATAGCCCTGGGGATGCAGACAGAAATTGAGGAGCAAGACGACATTCTTGACCGACTGACAACCAAAGTAGACAAATTAGATGTCAATATAAAAAGCACAGAAAAAAATGTTCGACAACTCTAAAGATAGAAAAGGATTTTCACTCCATTGTAATAAAAAGATTCAAAGATCTTTTTTTGAATTTCCAAGAAATTCATTCATTCATTATTTTAGTATGTAATTTAATGTGTGTTTGCAAATATTATAATAGAGTGGATCATAAGAGATTTTGTTGTTATGAGGATGCGTTTTCCTAGGGCCAACACCTCTGTAAGTTCTTTGAGCAAGATGCTTAGAGTTTTAGTCTGAGCACAGTAGTCTGGCCCTGAATATATTGGAGCCTTTGATTACTACCATGTTGGAATCAGAAAGAAAAGTTGTATTTCTCACTTTAATGAGTGTATGAAAAGATATGAAGCCGGGCTCGGTGACTCAACCTATAATCCTGCGCTTTGGGAGGCTGAGGTGAGTGGATTGCCTGAGCCCACAGGTTTGAGACCCACCTGGGCAACTTGGCGAGACCTCATCTCTACAATAAATCAAAAAATTGACCGGATGTGTTAGTGCGCGCCTATAGTTCCAGCTACTTGGAAGGCTGAGGCGGAAGGATCGCCGGAGCCCAGCAGGTTGAGGCTGCGGTGGCCGGGAGCATGTGACTGCACTTCAGTCTGGGCGACAGAGTGAGACTCCAACTCAAGAAGAAAAAAAGAAAAGAAAAGCTATGGGCAGAATTTCCGTCTTGCAACCGTGAGTCTCTATTTCCCTGTTTGCTGTATTTCTCATCCATAGGCCTTACTGTGAGTCAGAGCATTAAGGGGCCATATGAGCCACTAAAGGACTTTTTAAGCCAGTTGTTTGAGGAGGGCCCTTTCCACACCTGTTAAGTTTAGGAGTCATCACACACACACACATACACACACACACACACACATACACATACACACAGAGTGCATTGTTTGTGATTCTTTCATCCTTCTGGAAAAGGATCAATATTAGATTTAGAAATGGAGTGTGTCGCATTTCTTTGCTCTTTGTTGACAGATATTACCTTTTCCCATCCTGCCCTCCATCCTTGGCGTGCATTTTAGGAGGGCTTCAGACCGGCACTGCTCACTGTGTTGCTCACGATGCCTGGAACCGTGTCAGGAATTGTGTGAGCCCTTCTCCTCCTCTTGCTCCCATCTTGAACTCTATCTGCAGTTGGAAACAAATTCCCCACTGACTCAAGGCTACCTGGCTGACTAAATGTGGGGCCCTGTAGAGTCTGTGGGAATGGAGTTCGCACAGATGTGGCTTAGTCATGGTCTTCCTTCACCAAGCCCTCCACCCCTCTAGGAATCACCATCAGCCAAGCCTCAAAATTATAGAATGTTTATTTGATACCTGGGGTCTCCTGACCAGTCCAGGACTCTTGTCCACTCTTCTGGCACTTCTTGCAAGGTGACTTGAATCATTACTCCGTTCTCTACCAGTTTTAGGACTAAAACACCACAAATGATGCTGACTTTGTATAAAAGGATGTGGCTAAGGGGGGAAAAGGCCCAGATAGTATTATTTTAATGAGCCCAACTTGTTCTCTCCTTTCATTTTACAATAGGAATCATTTAGAAGCATCAATTAAAATTGATGTCTAAGCCGGGCTCGGTGGCTCAGCCTGTAATCCCGCGCCTTTGGGAGGCTGAGGTGAGTGCATTGCCTGACCCCGC